GGAAGAGTGACAGGACAGAAATGCCTACCATCCTTGATAGTCTTTTGTAACATATTGCTGTCTCCAAGATGACAGGTGCCCTTTAAATACTACTCCATTTAACAACGTATTGCTTTGGCTGCTCTCGCCTTTTCTCACACTTACTTATTACTGATATTTTTGTCATCCCTCCAGTGTGAGCAGAGCCCAACTGCCCTTAATTGAACCGGTTTTATTTATTTTTTCCAAAGAATGACTTCTTTACTGTAGTGCACAAGTTGTTTCTATTCTTGACATAGAGCTTGCACTATGACAGACACAGGAATGTTTCTTCGAAAGGGATCGGTGTGTGCAGCCAAGAGGATTTTTTTTTTTATTGCAGCGGATTATGCAAGACTTTTGGCTGTGTATGTTGGAGGGCTCATTTTCACGTGTTTGGCACAAGTCCCAGCCCCGGCCTTCAGAGCCATGGTTAGCGACATGAATGAATACAAAGTTTTCAAGAGCCGTTCAGTAAGTAGGGCTGGGAAGCTGCCAAAAATGTGGCTTCTTATTTGGGGTCAGGGCAGAGCACCTATTCGCCGAGCTTCCTATTGTGTGGAACACATCCTTCTCCAGGGTCCCTACACACACAAAGAGGAAGTTATCGAATAGTACGCAGATTTATTTAATTCGGCAGCGACGGTGCGCAGCTCAGGAAGTACGTCGTCATGCGGATTGAAAGGTGTATCTTAAAGCTGAAGTCTTTGACCTGCACAGCCGGCTTGAGATGTACAAGGGCAATCGTTGGAGACATCTGTTGTCTACCTGCTTTTATATCCTAAACGCTTTAATAAGATTAAATAATTAGCGGGATAACCACATGGTCACCAAGCATCTCCGTCCTGCCATTGACGGGGCACTTTAGGGGTGAATGGAATCCTTCAAACTGTGTAATTACTTTAGTTCTTTGGCTACTCCCCAGTATTCCTCTGTGTTCTGCCTTTGCATTATCCTGAAGGATGTGTTGGCTGTAATTCTGTTGACACAGATTATATTTTCCCTGGCAGTGGATTTTTTTCCTCCCGGGTTTTTGGGGTTTTTAAAGAGCCAGTAATCCTGAAGCACAAGTTGCTGTGCATTAATTTTATGAACAACCATCTGGAGCCAGAATGGAAATTCCGCTTGTGTGTGGCTGCGGGCGAGTAAAATCCCACGCTGGCATCTTGTAAATCTTAGGGACTTCAGTTATACACTAAGTCCCACTCATCGTCTGTGACATTTCAAAGCCAAACTATGGTATCCTGGTCCCTGATGGAAACTCTAAAGCATATCTGAACCCAAGAGCAAAAAATACAGCATTTGAAATGTATATGGTATTACATAAGTGAAGCTGTAAGCAATTAATAAGTAACTTGCACCAGGGACCCCTTTTCTATTATCTGCAGTGGTCTAGTTCTTTTGCCTTAAGCTGGTCATACATGGATTAAATAACGACCATTTCCGGGTGAATTTGCTGAAATTCAAACCATGGATAGCCCTGCTGGCACCTCCCAGCTCAACAAAAGTCAATTTTTCTTTTGTCAAAGAAGCCAGGTGGAAGAATAACGGTAACTGCTCAGCTGACAATTTTGCAGCATGTTCCTTCAGCAAAAGTTGATCTAATGATCGATTTCTGTTGAGGGAACAGGGACACCAACGGATTGGGTTTCGGCTGATTCCTGCTGTATTGGCCAGAATTAACAGTGTGTGTACTGAGCTTTAGACAGCTGCAGGCGCAGGCTGTCCGAATACAATTACCAGCAGGAGAGATTCCTTCATTGTGTTTGGTGCGGATGGGGGAGTGATTTCTCTTGTCCAGCTTATGGGGCTGAACAAGAGTAATCTAAGGCTCCGTCCACACCTAGTCGTCAGCATTTTCACGCATATTAGCACACGTTTTGTGTAACGGCTCATCTAGCGTGTTTAACGCATTTAGACACACACGATGCGCGATTTAGTGAGCAGATTGAAATACATTATCGTTAAAGTCTGTGGTCCCAAACGCACTGTAATCTGCCAAAAAAAGAGTTAATGTACGTTTTCCAGCTTTCAGCAGCTTGTAACAAAACTCTCCGGTGTGAACAGGGGCCATTGAAATGAATGGGATTTCTTGTGTTGAGAGTTTTGTCACGCTTAACTTTTAGCGTCAAAACGCCCAGGTTTTTAACAGTGACTTGCTGTGTACGGTCATCTTAATCCAGACCTCCTTAGTTGCTTCAATCGTAGGATGTTCTAAGGCTAGAAAAGTCATTCTTAGTAATTACTGCTCTGTTAGGGTTCACAGAAACTCACTTTTTACTAGTCAAATCATCTATAAACCTAACAACAAATATGTAATATGCTGAAGCATAACAGTCATCAGATGTGATGACCGCATTAGATTTCTTTTTTTTCAAGCTAATAATAATATCAGGAAACACCGGTAGAAATGTAGCGGGCTCGTCACCTCCTGTGAGCTGAGAAAAAACCCATAAACAACCTTTTCTTTGTGTGTATAGACTACTAGTCTGATCAATCCACCATGTAATGGAGATAAACAAAGGCAGACAAGTTTGAAGTCCAGCGTGTATGACAACCATGGCTCCTTCCATAGATACACTGGAGAAATGAGTGTAGGCACAAGTGGGCAGAAAATGTTATCTACAGGATCACAAGGTTAAAAAAGGAAACTAATGCAACCACCACATCTAAGGACTTGTGAACTGTGATCTGTAGCATTTTGTTTTTGGGTTTATATGGAGTTTACCAGCTATCCAGGTTATTGGGAGGCATCTTTCTGATGATAATAATCCGTGGCATGTCCGATGTGAACACAGACCACAGAATCAGGAGCATTCTATAGAGTGTTGAGATGCTACTTTTATTTTTCACACAAGCTCCAGGCATCGGCAGCACATAGCTGGCGTATCCAAAGGCCAAACCAGCATTCATTTTTACATCAAATTTCGCTTTCGATTTAGTCGTAGTCTTTTGATTAAAATGCCATGTAGTTTTAGTCATATTTTAGTCATCTAAATTGTTTTAGTCGACTAAATCTACAGTAGATCTAGTCTGCTAAAAACTAGAGGATTTAGGTAAAGGAGAACTATGAGGTGAGTGAAAATCACTCATCCTCATAGCTCGAGCCGACGTGTGACAATGAAACTGTCACACGTCGGCTCTATAGATCAGAAAGTGAGTGAACACATACCGTCACTCGCTCACTTCTCCATCATCTCCCTGCAGAGAATGGTGACTTGTCGGTCACCGCTCCCCGCAAGGATCCCCCCCCCCCCTCCTAGATAGGCAGAGCCAGCAGTCACATCTTGACAGCATTGTTGGGATCCGTCCCGGCTGTGGTGCTCTCAGTATACCACGAGCTGTAGCTCGCAATATACTGAGCTTTGGGTCACGGGGGGACGCTAGTATATGTCCTCCTGTGACCCTTAAGAGAAATATGGGGGAAAACACTTACTCCATAGTTCTCTTTCAAAGAGTAATTTAAGAATTTCTCTTGACTTTCCTATCTCATTATATACTCCTAGAGTACACATCTGTTAACCTGTTTTTATGGTATTAAGGTTTGAACATGCAATACAGACACAGATATAACTGATGGGATATATAACATGTCTTTATCTTAAAATTAGATTAAACCAAGTCTTATAAAGAAACACTAATATTGAGTATTTTCAACAAAGGACCAGTAATTAGATGTACATTGATTAGAACAACTTGCGTATGACATTTTTCACTCATATATGCAGAAATGCCTCTCTAAAATATTAAAATGAATAACTATATTGGCTGCAATGCCACTGCACATATTACCTATTAGTCGCCCATTCAGGATGGAACCGGAAGTCCAAAGAAAATAGTTCTGTTTGGATCTCTTCCCAAATCATCTGCCCTAACATTTTAGTCTAGTTTTAGTTAGTCGACAAAAATGTCAATATCATTTATCATTTATTTATCAATATCATTCATTATAGTTAGTCATCATAACTTAGTTTTCATTTAGTTTTGGTCACTGAAAAAGTGTACGAAAATTATTAGTCGACGAAATTAACACTGACCTAAGCTCTCCATGGCATTGGTCATTGGGACAAATCTAGAAAGTGAATCTCCCCAGTGAGGACATGGACTGTAGAATGCTTGTGCTGTTGTATCTTTTGTATTATTCCAATATAAGGTTATTTACAATCTTCTGGGGTTCTACAACCATTGGTGTGGTGCTTTTATTGCATTTTCTACTTCTAAACAATAAAATCCCAACAGAGGTGCTAACCCCTAACCATTCTGTCTATAACCGCAACAAAAATATTTGGCTTTAGATACATTTTAAATTGAAAGTGAGCATTTGATGGGGTGCCATGGGCAACTTTCCTCCGGTGTTTTTGATGATGCATGCTGTGTCCTGGAACATTTTTATATTCACCGGCACTAAAATGTCTCTGTTCTGTGGACGGAGCTGCTGATATCTGTGTGCTGAAACGGAATTAGCAGAGGACGGGAATGGAATAGGCTAATTGGGGAGAGATGTATAAAATGTATATTTGGTAAAACAATCCTCATAGAATGTAGGTGTTTTTGGATCATTTTAATAGAGTGAGTTGTTCTGTATGTTCAGGTCAGCTCAGCGTCGTTTTCTCCCCTGGATTCTAAAATCCACAAAATGCTAATTGAGATGCAGTAACCTCCGATAGCCTCCAGGGCCAGTTCTATTATTTTCCATCGCTGCAGGTTTCTTCTGGTGAAAATTGCCCAGAAACCCCCTTTCGGAATCTATTAGCTTGTATGTTATGAAGGAGCTTGCTGAGGTTGGCTTTGGATGGTTAGATTTACTCAGCTGCAGATTTGGACAGAAGCCGAGAGGAGATAATAACAATGTCTGATATTGGCAATAAACCGCACGTGAACAGGAGAACAAATCCATGAATTTGAATTTTAGGAAATGATTCCTTTCAGCTGAATGGTTTGCGATCTGGTTAGACAAACCTTTTCTTCTTCTTTATTGACAGGTATCATCTCTTCTGGGATCCTTAGTGACCGTAACATCATCTCATCTCAGTGGAAACAGACTGAATACAACCTCTTCTGCTGGAACCCTTTTCCCGCCAGCTGATATCAGCCAATCAGGTAATTTTATTAATTACTTGGACCTCAACCTGACATCAGAATTGATAAATTAGTATTAATGGACAGCTTGGTGGCTTGCGTTTTGTGGCTCTACTATTCTGTTTTCTTGAGTTTCATTCCCACCAGGAGGACTGCATGGTGTTTTGTATGCTGTTTTGGTCATCATGTGAACTTTCTTTGGATGATTGTGTTTTTATAAAATTGTCCTAAATCAGACCTGTGCTGTGGAAGCTGTGCAAATGAAGGGCCAAGGAACAGTCACCAGTATTGCCTATAGGCTTCCTCCAGCTGATCTTTTCCCCAGTACCTACTGTAATATTCAGGACGGATATGACCCATAGCCAGCCGTATCAGAAAATAAACTTTTATTCTTTTCCACAAACAGTCAAAGCAAATGGCTTATATTCAGCAAATACAAGATTTGGCTCAGCGCCTGTATACTAAGTTCCCACCTCAGGGTTAGAGTCCCAGCCTCAGGGTTAGAGTCCCAGCCTGCCCACAGAGGGTTCCAGTATGGACACAGGTGCCCCAGCAGTGTCTCGGCGGACTGTATTCCACAGCTTAACACACATAGCCATGTGTCTGTTCCAAACACTCCACACAGACAGACTGACTGGCTTCCTGTTCCTTTTTAACACACCCTCTGGCTGGTGGTTTAACCCTTTCATTACCAGAACTGGCTAGTCAGGGATGGAGGCTCTCAATACAAGGTGACCTTAATGGGACCACCACCTAAACAAGGGAGGGATATACCGTCCATCCAGGACCCATTCCTGGTGTCCTGTACACTTCTTACCATGCTTTGTTTAGTCAAGGCTTTGCTTCTGCTGCCCTACTGATGACCGGTAATCTGATGACTGAAGGGGGCAATATTCAAGAAGCAGCATTAAAGCACAGGTCCATGGAATGGATGAAGCAGAAGCATGGAGATCTTTGCACTACAAGTCCTCAGGTACAGTTTCCTCTCCAGGATGGAGAACAGCGAGAGTTGGCTCGGCCGAACTTTAATCCGCGTGTAGCCCTGTCGTCTAACCCCAGCGGCCTCATCCATCACCATCCCCACCCTGTTCAACAAAAGTTTACTTTTTTACACTGTTAGCATGGATGGAGAAATGAGAGTTTTTGTATGTGCTTATGACCGGCTTTTCAATGATCCTGCTTCTTGAATATCACCTCATCAGTCATCAAATCACAGCAGCATATAAGAAAAGGCTGTTAACTGGCCGGTTAGCTCCTTCCTCAATGGCGCTGCTGTGTTTGCACACTTGCAATATAGAAATAAGATTGTAAGCTCCAGGGGCGGGAACTGATACAAGTAGTCTGGGCCTCTGCATAACCTTGTAGTAAATAGACACTTGGCCTGTAGGATCCTGCCATTGGCAAGCGACAAATTGAGGTCGTTCTTACGTGCGACTCTTTCACATTTTGGCGGTATGGATGCGACAAATTCAATTAGAAATACCGCTATATCAGTGATCCTAAAAGTGGACCTAAATCGGACCGCTTCCATGTGGAGTAAATTAGGGCGCACATGTAAGTATTGTCACAGACAAAATTCTGCAACAGATTCCTATACACCTTAGCGAATCTTTCGCAAGTTGCGTCATTTGTTGCACGGATGGTAGACCGATGTCTGCAACACTCTTTATTAATTCCAGGAGTTGCGTTTAATCTGCTTTCCCTTCTTTTTAGTAATTATGTTGCAGCAGTACTAAAACATTCCATTTGACAGAAGTGTGATCCATTGTAGTTTATTCCCGGTTGGTGCCCGTTACAGAATGCAGCTGTTTTTGTCTTCCTAATCTCAGAGGCTGATACTTAAAATCTATACAAGTCCATTTCCTTCCATCCTAGAAGAAGTTGTGGCCAGATATGCATACTTTGTCTTGTTAGTTTTTAGTTTTCGTAGAGGTGCTTTATCACCACGATATTGTATATTTGGAGACGTGTCTGCCCCCTCCGACACCAGCTAAATGAGATTGCTTTGTTTCTCTCCCTTCAGGAGAAGTTTGTGTGTGGTTTGAGGCTTTTTGTTGACAAGTCCTGCTACCCATTAATGTTTGTGGGAGGGGGATGGGGGGGTCTGCCAGTGTACCAAGAATGGATCACTCATGTCTTTGCCAGGCAGGGGTCAGAGGTCGCCTGACTCACAATGAAAGGAGGATAACCTTGAGAGGGGCCAGCTAGGGATGCAGCTTTTGTTACTGGCTACAGGCAACATTCCCGTCTCTCTAGCTTGTTCTGTTATTGTACGAGCGGGATAATCAGCATTTTGTATTTATTGAGGGGGAAACTTTAGTGTATTTTTAGCGAGTTCTTATCGTAGCATTATTCGGCAGTCATCTTTAAAGTGTTTTGTATGAAGAGTTGTAGATGGTCATATGTGGCTTTCTGTGCTTCAGGCCATCGAGCCTCCCTAATCAGCAACTGATAGGGGAAATCACTAGCCACATCGAAAGTGCTTTATGGTCGATCAGTTCCATAGGCTTGAGAATTGGGAATGGGGATCAGTATAGCACAATCATTGCAGGAAGCAAATCCTGCTGCTCCCATGAGCTTATGTCATAAGGAACTACACGGCTTTTAAAAGGTAAGTGACGTGGATGGTAGCTGGGCCTGCACATTTATAGTACCCCAACAGATTACCAGCAATGGAGGAATAGTTTATGTGGTAGGAGGGTTTGGTGCATTGTAGCTAGGCTTGAATAGAACACCGAAGTCTGGATTAGTCGTCTCGGACTCCATATGAAATTTACAGAATCGATGGAGGTATTTATTTTATAAAAATGATATAAGATGACTTGCAGCAAGAGATCCAAACTTGTGATATAGTATTTGTGTCCTATAGGTCTAAACATGAGGGTGGGAGCTAAACAGACATTGTGTGCTATCTCAAGTCTACCCGCTATTCATAGAAATTACATAGACATTCGCACATGTCGATGAGATGACTTTACACACACAAATATATAATATATAGCAGGGGTGCACTTATACCGAGTATTTGGGCGAGTACACATACACTCCCAAATGCTCTGATACCTCCGATACCAGTCTCCCTCTGACCGGGAGTGCCAAAGAAGCATGGAGCTGGCTTCCTTTCCAAACAGGAAGTCGGGCGGTGGGTTATGACCCACCTCGTGGCTTCCTGATTGGTTTGGAAGCCAGGCTGTCTAGCAACGAGTGAAGCCAGCAGGCTGGTCATGTCGTGCGGCCTGGCTGTCTGATTGGCTAGGAAGCCAGCTTCACTTGTTAACCAATCAGAAAGCCGGGCAGCACCTCATGACCCGCCACCTGGCTCCATGATTGGTCAGGAATCCAGGCAGCCTTGGGAAGTGAAGCCGCTGTTCTTTCTTTGGTCAGGAAGCCAGGCAGGTCATGATCATCCCCCCCCCACCCCCCCAACTTCCTGATAATTGGGGGACACAGCAGTTACTTTATCGGGGAGTACCGGAAATAAAATATTGGTTCTCGTATTGAATTAATAAAAATCAAGAGGTGCTGCAGAGAGACATTTTTGCCTAAAAGATATAGAAGAGACAGTAAATTGTAATGGATGTGATTTTTCTATTTGCATTTGGGAATTATGTAGCTGATTTCGCTGCAGTTTGTGGTCTTCAAAAAAGGTAAATCCAATCATTGATCGATGCTAATCAGGAAATACATCAGTTGTGATAAAATCAGAAAGGCCATCCAGTTTACCTTTAGTTTGTTCTCTTCTCTCCATACAGCCAGATTCCACAGAGCTCCACTTGTCTAGTGTGTGGGTCCACTTCCTGAAGACTGTCCAGTGTAACTTTTTATCTTTCTACTTGCTGAGTCATCAGTCAGATTCAGGCTTTTAATCTGCGAGGAACATCTAAAGTTGGCCATACTCTCATAGATCTCTTTTGTTTAGCCTGCAGACTGAACAAAAGAAATGTAACCTATTCGTCCATCCACGCTAAACAGATGGAGGAATCTACAGCTACTGTATTCTGATAGTTGGCACCCACCACTGTCAGAATACCAGAACTGTGATTGCAGCTGATTCACAGAAGTCACTGTTAGGCCGACAATTTTCCAAATTTCAGATTTTCAGTTGACTTTGGCAAAAGTCAATTGAAAGTAATTTTTTGTCAAGCTGAGTAGTGCCGCCAGGGCCACCCATGGATGGAGTTTTGAAATTTGAGGGGTGTTTAGTCCAGCTTTAGTGCTGACACTTTTTACATCAGGCTTACTATATGTGTGAGACAGCAAGGAGCCTGCAAAAGTATTTGGGAATACATCTTCTACATTGCAAACAAGCAAAAGGTGTTCCCAGATCCACCAGATTACCGAACAATAGCAGTAAGATGAACTGGTGCATGATTGATTGGAAGCCTGGGCAGGTAGGCTGCATTCTATGTTTATCTCATCGCTTGGAGTGTATACATTTAATTGCTGCAGTCTGTGTCTTATTTACATCTGTCTGCACGTTCAAGCTTCCGTGGTCACTCAGTGGTGGACGGTAATACAGGATTGCATGGCTGTGCACATATCCTCACCCAGGACGCTTCTCATCCTCGGAAAGGCCGGAGTCTGAGCTGTGCCCCAGTGCAGAAAGCGTTAAACAGAGCAACACATTGGGATTAGCTGTGATAAGCATACAGATTAGCTGTTCACAGCTGTGATTCATTACTTTCACTGGAGAAATGAGAAGTGGCAGAGGGGAGGAGTGCCGCCGATGGGAAGCACACTCCTCCGCTGTAAACACACTGCACAGAGACATGGAAGAGGCCTGGCTTGCTTCATGCTGTACACTGAGTGGCCGGGAGCTGTAATGAGGGTAATACATGCAGTAATATCTGTGCACTCAGGTCTCACAACAGAACGGCAATACACATGGGGGGGGGGGATTTATCAAAACTGGAGCAGACAAAATCTGGAGCAGTTGTGCATGGCAACCAATCAGCTTCTCTCTTCAGTTTGTTCAGTTAAAGTTTGAAAATAAAAAAGAGAAGCTGATTGGTTGCCATGCA